GGGGGGAAGAGATATGAAATATTGGCCGTCAATAAGCAAGTTTTCTCTACTCTTACATGATACTTTTACCCAAAAACTCAGCGCGATAAGATCAGATAAGGTAAGATAGTATAAGATAGAATAAGATAGTATGAGACGGGATAAGGTAAGATAAGGTAAGAAAGTATAAGATAGAATAAGAATAAGTATAAGATAAGATAATATAGTATAAGATAAATTAGGGAAAGATCTGTAAACCTCCAATCTTAAAATAAAACCCTTAAAAAATTACCATACCTAACATTTAAGGAAAAAATAAATTAAAGAGTGGGAGGGGGGTGATTTTTGCAGAAAAGATAAACCTTAGAATTAAGTAGCTAATTCGATTTACCCTTCTAAAGATTCTTTTAATATTGAAGAAAAAATCCCACCTTTGTAATACTGAATGGTCCTGCTCCTTTCCCCCACTCCGTGATCTTATTAACGGCATGCTTCCCGTCCCCGGTCACGGTGATGGAGTACTTGATAATCCTGGAGTTACAGTATCCGTCGCTTACGAAGAACGTCTTTGCGTCCTTGCTGACGGCAACTGCTGTGGGTTTACAGTAATGGCTGAAAAATATAAGAATCGTTCATTCATTTTCAAAGAAAATCTAAGCTAAAAAATTAGTTCTTTCTTTTAACCAAGTCAAGATATATTGTAACTGATTTCAATACGTTAGGTCTATACCGTAGATTGTACAATATACAGCGCACAGAGTACAATGTACATCGAAAAATGTACAATCCAATGAAACATATATATATAAGTGCCAGTTTGATCCTCACCTATCATCTGATCCAGGTTGGAATCTGGTCCCCAGAGTCAGAAGAGGTTTATGATCTCCACCATACGGTGCAAACTTGAAAATCTGATGGAGAGCTACATCGGTCATCCAGATGTTGTTCTCCGAGTCCACAGTGATCATGTGGGGCAGGAAGAAGAGATCCTTCCCCCAGCTGTTGATGGTGTGCCCGGTCGAGTTTACCGTTACAACGGTGTCGAACGCGATCGGTAAATCCCGTTCCATTGCGTAAGTGTTGTCACTAAAAACAAGAGAAATGATTGTTTAACACTTCCCCCATGGTCACCCCTTCCCCGAATCATAAGCACTCTTCTACGAGAGTTGAAAATATTTAAAAAAAACTTTTTAACCAACGAATTTTAAGTAGCCAAATATCCCCATTAAAAAAACTTACTAGTTGAAAGTGTTTCCATTCCATGTTCTGTCTCCTCTATGAAATATGATCGCATTCCCGTAGATATCTATGGTTACCCCAGAGATCTGTCCTAGGCTGGTAGCTGTGGCTGTTGAAGGCCAGTTCGGGACAACAGAGAAATCAGATCCAGGTAAACTTTTCCCATCCCGACCTGAGGGCATCAGATTTTACGTCAAAATTTGGTTTTAGTAATTTTTACTTTTTCTATGCGGGCCAAAATAGGAATTTAATTGGACTGTTAGTGTAATTAGATTTTTTATTGATAATTTCTTAAATCAAAATAAAGATACATTAGATTTAGTTCAACTTGTTTAAGGCAGAAGACATTTTGAATACAATTGTATTCGAGCTATTGTAGCATCCACGCTTTTGAATTCCCGAACTCATGTTCAAAAGGATTTAACGATCTTATTCCTGTCTTGTTAAATATAATAGATAGAACACGAGCCTATTTCTAGAAACATCACATGCTCCGATGTATATTCTACAATGCACAACGTAGTATATACATATATGCATATTGCACATTCACACATCAAGTACAAGCTAACTACATATGTACATGCACAAATTAAGATAAGACAAGTGTCATAAAAAAAGACAATTTAGATTATTTTTATATTTCCAAGGTTTTCTAAGAAATATGTATCTGTATTGTAAAGGGTTATACATTTACAAAGCTAATCAAATTTTGTCTCGTGTTTTTGCCATTTTTTGGCGCTATGTCGAATACATAACAAAAATTAAAATAATAATTGCCATGTTTTTTTTTAAAGTGTACAACTACGTTTGTGTGATCATGCGATAATATACAATACATATATTTAATTATATTGTTTATCATGCAAAAACAATAAATAGAATCCTAATAATTGATGTACTTGTTGTAAAATATTAATTAGAAAAGGTAAAAGGGGTGGGGGCGGGATTATAAAATGAACCATGATTTTTAATGTTTCTGTAAACAATTAAAAACAAACTTATTTCAAACTTATTTCACAGTCCCCTAAATATTTTCTCAGTCTAAGGCTAAGCCGCCGAAGAGAACCAGGTTTACTGAGGTCTGTTTAGTACGCTTTTTATCAATTTATGTTTACAGAAATATTAGATCGACTAACACCTCCCATAAGGATAACAAATAACAGACAAAAAACATTAAGATCGTACGTAAAAAACTGAAAAGTTGAAAATTAATGAAATTATTTATCCTAATTTTACTACCGACTACCTTTCGGTTTCTTTTTCTTTTTACTTTTCTTCTCATCAGAAGGTTGAGTTGTGGTAGTCTCTTGAACCTGCTCGGGGTTAGTTTTAGAACTTGGATATTTAGACTCGGAGTCGGACGGGTAACCTTGTTTAACATTAGGATACTGTTGGTCTACAGGTATATACTGCTGTTGGGGCGGATATTGTTGTTGCGGCGGATACTGTTGTTGTGGCGGATACGGCTGTTGGTAGGGCTGTTGTGCGGCGGAGAATGGATCCAGGGCGGAGTAAGGTTGTCGGTCGGAGAACCCCGCCTGCGGAAGATTCTGGAGAAAGGTTTGAGGATAAACAGGGTTAGGTTGGTAAACAGGGTTCATAAATCCTCCGGCTACTGGTCCTCCGTAACCCTGACCTCCGATGGAGTTGTCGTAACCTCCATAGCCTCCCTGGCTATACCCTGTACCTCGGGCAGGACGGCGTTTGTTAGTAATATCTACTAGTTTCCATGCTAAAGAATGTATTAGTTTCCCACCACCGTTGTTAGTATATCCCCAAAATGCTGCGTGTCCGTTAGTAAAATGCAACCTTTGACCCTGATGCTCCAAATCCTTTCCCTTACCCAGAGCAACCTCTTCCAGGGCTGGGTTTGGAGGCAGAGGAACATCGTTTCCTGAACAAGAACGGAATATATTAAAATTCTTTATATTAATCTGCAACATCTGAGTTAAAGAGGTAAGGATATTATACAAAATTAACTTTTTGTTCTCAAACGCGCAATTGTGTTTTCAGGTCTCTGATCTCTGGAAGCTCCATCAAAAATTAACATTAAAAAACAGAACTTTTATATGCAATAAGTTAAACTAGAATTGATTACTGGCCTCGTTCTCCAATTTCTAAACCTTAAATCTTCACAACCTGAGTTCATCATTTTAAATTACATAAAAATCAAATCAAATAGATTTGTTGAAAGGTTGACATCCTCACGTGATTACAAAATCATATTTTTTCATCAGGAATTAAATCCTTTATGAACTGAACTGAACCCATATCCAGAAACATAAAGCACAGAGCGGATCCAGAATCAGGATCCATATCAGAATGGATTTGATCCAAAGCACTGCTGTTGCAGAAAATATTGAATAGTTGGAAAAATCTAAATCAGTTCTAATTTCTAAAAACCACTAAATGATTTCATTATTGTGAAAACATTACCGTCTGGAAGCATTCTGCTTAGTCGAGGATTCTGTTCGTCGAAACAAAGTTTGAAATCGTCCGTCTTGGAGAGAGAGTAGAACATAAGATATAGATTACACATCTCATCATCTCCGGTAGATCCTAATATCAGATTTAAATAAAACCACAGAGTAGATATTTGTGTTGAGCTAAGATTGCTTCTTGTCAAATTTACTTTCTTAACTATGGAACAGCGTTGAGAGGAAACCATTTATCATTGCAGATAGTTTTATACAATTGGACTTAACTTCAATCATAAAGTTATTAGCAACAGAACTATCAGGAAACATCCTTTAATATGTTATTGAATTTTTTATTGAGATATATTCTAATTTCAACCATTTGTGAAATAAATAAAGGATATTGTATAGATTTTCAATCTTTCCAAACCCTGGCTCAGCGGGAACGTGATCTTAAGTATTATCTATTGCAGATAAATTATATGAGATCCCAGGTTAGAACCGGAAGTTCTAAAAGTGTTGAGAAGAGGGCAATGGCTAATATGCCGAAGTAAGACGACCAAAGGCCGAATTTGAGCCGTGGCTTAAATTTGAGACACGGCTCAAATATGGTTGGTTCCACTTAAAATTGTATTAAATGTTTTAAAATTTAAGACTCCGCTCAATTAAAACCGGTTTTTGGCGGATTTGAGACGCGGCTCAAATTCATCAAATTCTGACTCAATGCCATGTCAGGTCTGTAGACTCAAAAAGATCCGTTATATTATCTGACTAATGCAGAAGATTACCATATTAAAAACAGAACACTTTAAATGTCGTCTTCTAACCCCGAAATCCATCAACTCTAGATAATAAATCTATTTTTTAGAAAAATGTTTGAAAACGTTGAATATAATATAATCTAACCTATCTTAACATTTTGATGATGCCCTGTCGTGTTATATGAGCACCTAGCAGCCAGAACCTCTCCAGGATTAATGATTTGTTCCTGAATATATAAACTTTTTTATCTATAATTATTATGCCCAACGAAAATCAATCATGACAATAGAAAAAATTACCATCAGGATCATTAATTGATCTTCAACAAGAAATATATAAAATTGTTGTCAATAAAAACATCATAAACATGGTTCCTTTTCAACAATTCCACAGAAAAACAAAAAATTCATTATGATTATTATTTTTTAAGTTTAAATGAATGATTGCATTTGCATGATTTTTTTGAGATACAGGTTGTATCCAGCGTGGGGGCTCTTGTGTCTCAGCCCCCACAAGACAGATTCCTGTGTACGCCCCTGATTACCTTAACAGGATAGAAAGCTTGCGGCCAGCGTGGATTTCCCTTGGCGACTAGACTCCAGGTTCTCTGAGCTTCGTTGTACATGTATCCACTGATCACGCTCCCGTAGGAGTGCGCATGTGCGCGGTATGCGAATATGTGCAGTGGGTTCTTAGCTTCAACCTGGAAATAAAAAAATTGGTAATTTCCATGACATCATTTTAAAGCCATTTCTTGCGACAAATTATTATTATTTTAACATACTTTACAATATTTTTTTTGAAAATTGTCAAAATATGGTCACTTTTTTTAATGGGCATATTTTCTTATCTTTACCAGCCATAAAGGTCAGTTAAGGTTCCATGAAAATGGAGCCCGATCTATTTAGACACGTCTACCTTAAGCTTTGACTTGAAACCTGAAACCCCAAAAAACAAGATAAGTATGTTTCCAAATCATAAATAAAAATAAACCTTGCAGTTAGCATCTCCATGAGTAGTCTCAGTATCTGCTGGTATATTCAGGTTACTCCGTCCTAGTAGAAATATTCCAGCAGTGTACTTAGGCTCCGTACTCGTAAACCGTAGGGTTAGCCCACTGTAGTCAGGATCAGACAAGGGTTTAGAGTAATGAACCTGGAAAAAGATTTTTTTTGCAAAAATTAAAACGTCTATTTATGAAGAAACAAATATCAAATTTAATGTGTTGTGTTATTTTAAAAAAAAATAAAAATAAAACTTTTTAATTTATGTAAAATGTTAATTAGGACAAAATATTGATTTATTCTTTTACTTAACATTATTTAATGTAAACTAATGTTTTCTTCTTTATTATGAAGTTTGTGTCCCCAAGAAAAAGTAAAATTAGGTTTAGTTCCAAATAATAATAATAATTACAGAGAATGGGCGAGGGAGAGGAGGAGGGAAGGGGGGTCTGGAAAATATATAACCCTGAATTACAAATTACCTGTAGAACCAGAGAATCCTCTTTGTCCAATGAGAATCCTACATCCACCGGCACCTCGGTAGGGTCAGCGTGTTTAGCCCACGCAAACAAAATCTTACTCTGATCCAGGCACATCTGATGATGCCGGCAGTCGTAGATCTCTCCTTCCATCTTAGGAGGATGCTCGCACTTGGAGAGAATCATGTGGTGGGCCCGGTTCCCGGAGACAATAGCGGAGAACTTGACAATCCAGAGTTTGTTCTTAGGATCAAGATCTTTCACCTTAACGGAGGTGCAGAGATACTCATCGTCCCCGGATGGGGTAGCTCCTGGAAAAAAGAAGAAAATGTGCCACAAGAAAACCAAACAAAATGGGGAGAAAACTGTGCAAAATTGTCTATACAAATGTGCAGAAATCTTGTGTAAAGTGAATTGAGAACCTGGCATTGTGAAGTTTAGGTCAGCCACCATCAGTGTATTTTCCTCCACCCCACCCTTCTTGTTGCTTCCACCTTTCTCAAGCTCCTCAGCGAACAGCTAAACAAAATCAGTTTTATCTTAAACAATAATTTTAAACATATCATTTACTGCTTTTCTTCCTAGTTTGCAAGGCTAAACTTTAATCAAAAGCACAATAAAAAACTTGAAACCTTTTCCTAAAATTAAAATTAAATGCTAAAAATACTAAGTATTTGTATCTCATTTTTTTTACGTTATTCCCTTGAAGTAACAATTAAGATAAAGAGATTAGATCTGAAAGCCCCCCCCCCCCCCTATGCGAGACCCTGACTGCCCACGGGGTAAAGCACAGAAAATAGACGAATTTCTGGGGACGACTAACATGATAAGCTAAAATAATTAAACCACAATTAAATTTGTATTTCCCCCCCTAAAGGAACATCCCCCGGGGTATAAAGTAAAACTGTACCTGTGAATAATTAATCTCTGATATCCCTGTATTAACACTACTATCCTTGGCCTTGTCCTCCCACACCTTGTTCTTAGGAGGGGCGACATCACTATCCGCAGGTAAGCCCCGGGTTATAAACTGACCGGCCTGCTCACCCCAGCACGCCAAGAAATCCCCGGACTTCCCCGGCTCCGTGAAGAACATGATGTACAGGTTACACATCTCGTCTCCGGCAGTGCTGCCGATATGGGTTTCACGATCCCGACCCGTACTGTTATATGTACACCTGTAATAGAAAAATAAATATAACTAAATCCGACATTTTTAGAAGTCTTTCGCAAAAGATCAATTTCTCAGACATGATAATCTGCGATGGTCCAGAGATTGGAAATTTTGTGTGGAAAATCGATCATCTTAAACGCTTGATCTCGATATCCAATGCATGGACACTTTTAAATTCGAGAATGAACGCTTCATCGCTCAATAATAGTTATCCCTGCAGGGGTATGACCACCACGGGGTATCGAAGAGAAGTCACATCAATCCTTTTGTCTGCATAGGATGGAGATCAAGGTTTGATCCCGAGATTCAAAAACCAAAAGTTCTGACTACAGATTTGATAACATTTTATGGCCTTGCTATGCAATTTTTCTGACTTTACTTCTACTAGATAATAATATAATAAACAATATATAACTGAACTACAAAACCATGAATATTTAAGATTCAAATCTTACAAATTGAATTACACAGTTCAGTAAAGGAGAAGGGTGGGGGGGGGGGGAATTATGAAATAACCCCTGGTAAATACAAAATTGTCAATTTCATTAGCCCCCCACCCCCGTAAAAAGAGAGTAGAAACTATAGTTACCTGACAGTAACCGTTTCTCCAGGTTTAACAGTCTGTACTGCCTGCATGGGATAGAAGGCTTGAGGCCACTGTGGATTCCCCTTGGCGATCTCCCTGTACTCATTCTTCTCCTCGTTGTACGCGTACCCGGAGATTACAGAACCAAGCGCATGCGCGTGCGTTCTAAATCAATTTTACTTTAGAAAATATTTAACTTCTTTCCACTATTTGGTTTTAAACACATATAAATTTTTAAATAGACATTAAGGCATAGTTAGGTTTTTATAAAGATAAGTAGCTTGTCGCATTGGTTGTTTTTAAAAGAAGAGTACAAACCTTGAAGCTTTGGTTTAAGTTTTAAATAAATAACTTCAAGGGATTGGTATGTTTTAAAATGAGAACTCTCCAGTCTTATCGCATTGGTTGTTTTTAGAATGTGGGTTTAAACTTTAAGGAAATGATAGGTTTTTAATAGAAAACAAACCAAGGAATTTGTCGGTTTTAAAGTCTATGAACCAAGAAGTTTGTTGATTTTCAAAAAGATGAGTCCATATACATTAGGAAGGTTGTAAAAGATAAATACATTTTTCAAATATGAGCAAATCTTTTGCCATTGGTTGGTTTAAGCAAGAATAGTCAAAACTTTTTGCCATTGGGTAAGTTTTAGATCTAGGTAGTATTTATATTTAAAGAATGGTCTAAACCTGAAAGCGAAGAGATGAAGAGGAACTTGAGCCGGAAGTTTACAGTTCCCATCCGCGTGGGTTACCTCTGTATTTCCGGGGATACTAATCAAAAGAAAATTTTATGAATAATTGAAAGGAATTAGGATTATCAATGATAATCGTAGTTTGAAGACGAGAAAGAGAAAATTCACTATTTATAATAATAATAATAATAAAAATTATAGTAGATCTGAAAGGGAACCCGACATATGACCCCCAGACCGCCTTTTGCGCGCAGCGCATCAACATGCAGCAAAGGGCCCGAATCCATCCAGGCTATCTGACAATTTTTAACGCTCATGAGCTAGTGGTACATCCCGGAGGCTGGCAGCTGACACCTTTCAGCGAATTGTGTACCCAGCAGTCACCTATTGTGCCCTTAAGGCTTAGTACTAGTCGTTCTGGTCAAAGTATGTAAAAATCGCAAATTGTACAATCACACACCTTGACAGAGATCCAAGACATTTTTTATATTTATTTTAAGATTAAGATTCAATTGGGTACTTTTGTGAACTATTATAAATCATAAAAATAGAGAGAATTTATTGCGAACAGAAACTGGTAACCTAATTCTGTGAATTTTCCATTACTCTTATTTTTTGTGTTTTATAAAAGTTTTAAGAAACTATTGTGAATTGTTGATGGCACTCCTGACGTTTAGATAATTACCTGACAGCTCCTGATCCGAGCAGAAGGATCCCAGCCTGATACCTAGCTGGAGTTGTCTGATAGGTTAAACTTAATCCTGTATTATCAGAATCCGGCAGGGGATGGGCGTAGTGCACCTAAATAATCAAACTTTTTTAGCCTAGGTTCAGCCAATTCGGTCCAGCCGTTTGGACAGCTATAACTGACATTATATATATATATATATAAATATATATGTATATATGAGCGAAGAGCTTAACTATTTAGATTATCAATCAATTCTTAAATATGTTATAAAGTAAACACTCAAGGTTTATTTAAAAACTAGCTTGGGAACCCAGCTTTGGCTGAAAACTTTAAAAAAACTCAACCTACTCCATTTAGAATCTTTAAACAAAGCTAAGAACATTTCCTTAGTTTTACCCAGTTCCCCAATCAAAATCTGAGGCAAATCAGTCACAAGTTATGAACAGAACAAACAAACAGAGATATCTACTTAAAATATAAAGATAATATTAATCAAATTAAATAATTTCTTAGCCTAAGAACGTTCTTGATAAAAGTGTTAAAAGTGAGAAAATCAATGATCTTAACTTATAAATAATTCTACTATATTATTATCATATTTATGATTTAACCTTAAAATGAAAATTTCAGAGTTTTGAACCCAAAGCATTCAAACTCCGAAAAATACATCCTAGGTGCTACTAACCTAGAGAACTAAATATTTCTTCTGTATTGGATTTATCATGAATCCAAAATCCTTGGGCAGTGTAGTAGGAGGAGCATTCTTAGAATCTACTAAGCTGGAGAACTAGATATTTCTTCTGTATTGGATTAATCATGAAACCAACATCCTTGGGTAGTGTGGTAGAGGAGCATTCTTAGATTCTACTACCCTGGAGAACTAGATAATTCTTCTGTATTGGATTAATCATGAAACCAACATCCTTGGGTAGTGTGGTAGAAGAAGCATTTTTAGATTCTACAAACCTGGAGAACTAAATATTTCTTCTGTATTGGATTTATCATGAAACCAACATCCTTGAGTAGTGTGGTAGGAGGAGCATTCTTAGAATCTACTAACCTGGAGAACTAAATATTTCTTCTGTATTGGATTTATCATAAAAACCAACAACCTTAGGCAGTGTGGTAGGAGGAGCATTCTTAAGATTCTACTAACCTGGAGAACTAAATATTTCTTCTGTATTGGATTAATCATGAAACCAACATCCTTGGGTAGTGTGGTAGAAGGAGCATTCTTAGAATCTACTAACCTGGAGAACTAGATATTTCTTCTGTATTGGATTTATCATGAATCCAACATCCTTGGGTAGTGTGGTAGGAGGAGCATTCTTAGCCCAGGCAAACATTATAGATGAAGCTCCCTTACACAACGAATGATGCATGCAGTCGTAAACCTTAAAACAAATAAGATAAAGGGACTCTAAGCGTAATTTCAAGTGCAACCTCACATGCGCGCAACGATGAAATGCCTGATTTAAGACGGTTCCCTTTAAAGCTTTGTCTGATCCAAGTATTAATTAAATAATACTTGGATCAGACAAAGACAAAATTAAAGTTGTGGGTTCTCAATAGAAGTGACTTGCGCATTTCTACTGCAGAAAAATATAAAGGAATTATTATAATTTAACACTTTTAAACTAATCAAACGACCATATCTTCCACATTATTGAACAGGCAAAGGTTTCATGGGTACAGTTGTGAATCGGGCATTGTCGAGGGAAAATCGAGAATATCGCTTACAGTTCCTTTAAATGAATGTTGTATCGTTTTACTGTGAGAATCGTTTATTATAATATTATTATTATAAAGATTTATTCACACACAAAGATATAAATACATATATAAATGGTGTAGTTTAAAGTTATTTACATAAATTTTTTTAAATACAGGTTTCCAAAAGAAGAGAGAAAAATATGCAAAATTATGCACAAATAGACAACATTGATCATTACTCATTACATAACATTTATCTTCAGTTATTACGTAATCATCAAATTCTTCAACATATACATTATTCGTTCTTGTATTTAAAAGTTCTTGTAAAACCGAAACTTTCCATGCATGGTCCAATGGGACGTCAAAATATTTCATTTGTTTCTTAACTAACATTTTACTAAGGTTTACATTACAATCATTTGCAATAGAAAATAAATTTCTGCCAAGAACTGTGCATTTTTGCATTAATTAGAAAGAAATCTAATGCAAAGCTTAGAACTTGCTTCAATAGTCTCATAGAAAGACACACATCTGCTAGCTAACATAGCTTTTACATATAAACATTGTGAAATACTTTCAATCAAGTACCTATGCGTATCTCTAGGTATATTAAAAAGAATTCTAATTGCAGTATCACTTGAGTATTATTTTACTATCGTGGTTCATTTTTATTAACGTTTTATCATTTCAACTCGTGCTGGGTTCATTACAATCAATCAATCAATATTTATTTCAAATAATTTAAAACAAATAAAATTTTTATTAGCGTTATATCATATCAACTCGTGTAGGGTTCATTACAATCAATTAATCAATATATATTTTAAATAATTTAAAACAAATCAAATTTTTATTAACGTTATATCATATCAATTCGTGTAGGGTTCATTACAATCAATCAATCAATATATATTTCAAATAATTTAAAACAAATCAAATTTTTATTAACGTTATATCATTTCGACTCGTGCACTCATTACAATCAACTAATCAATTTATATTATTAATAATTTAAAACAAATCAAATCCTATATCAAAAACCATCTAAATATTTCAAACATGCTTACAGTTCCTGGCTCCTGTAGAGGTTCACTACAAGCGTACAGTAGCATATGATGAGCCCTGCTAGCATCTGCTTTAGGTATAAATCCTAAAATCAAGATATTTAACAAAATGGATGCTTGAACTAAATTATTTACCAACACGCATTCCAAGGAATAACTTTTCCTTGCAAATTCACCATTCAGCAAGGGTGTGAATATTTTACAAGAATCTAGAATGACATAAAGACAGGAAATGTTTTTTTTTAAGATTTGGGAGGAAAACACCAAAAAATACTTCATTTAGCAATAATTATCATTATCATTATCAAAATGGTTTTATTTAGGTTGAGAGAATTGAGAAAATCTTCCCAATGCCTTGGTACGAAGAATTTTCAAATGATATTTTTCAAGCAAAAATTTCTCTCGACCCTAATGAAAGTTTTGAGTAAAAAGGGTAATGAAAGCCTTATCTTTCTTGTCCAAGGTTAAAAAGAGAAATGGCAATAATAAATTTATTTTCCTTATATTAAGTTCAAAGCAGTATACCGACCTGCTATAAGTGTGTTACCGTTTTTAAAAAACTTAAATAAAACTTCCAAGATATGAAAAATGACTTCAGATAAAGTCTGTTTTGATAAACTTTGCAATATTTTTATTCTAAAAAAAACGATAAAAAACGATTTTAAAAACCATTGTTTTAACACGATCGTTTTTTATCGTTTTTTTTTCTAGCGTCAGAAAAGCAACTGTTGAGCATACATAATTTGGAAAACAGTTGCTAAAACACACTATGGACAATTTTGGCCCTAAAAAAATAACGATAAAAACGAACTAACTAAATGCACATCCCTACCTGTTACATATAAAGAATCTTGTATTCCGGTCATCTCTGTCACCTCAAACGCGGAGCAGAGATAACTATCATCAACCTCCGGCCTAATACAACAGGTTTGTTATCAGTTCGGTTCAGTTACTTAGAAATAGAATAGAAGCGGTTTTGGCATTGGTTCCGATTTGGTTGATTTTGGTTCTATTCGGTTGTTTTCAGTTAGTCAAGGTCGACTTGGTTGTCTTTGGTTCTGATTAGATCGAAATCTCTATACGGAAACACCAGATGGAGTACCGCTCGTTTAAAATTTTGATTTAATAGTTCATCCTCATTATTTAGCGCGAACACTCCCTATTAAAAAGTTTTCCTACCTTGCGCCTGGCATAATCAAGTCAATTGTGTTATCTAGAGAATTATGGGCGGAGCTAGGTTCCCCCGCCCCTGCTAACCCAACCAGGCAGAACAAAAGTGCAAACATTCTAAACAAATATTTTAAATCAAGAAATTATCACTGTAGGATAATATTTTACTTAATATTTTACTTGAGTTGAGTAGCATAACATCCCAATAAAGTGTATAGTAGTAAACAGTTCCGAGTCGTATAATAAAGCGGTAAAACAAATTACCTTTTTGGTTCTAAATTCCAATGTTCATGACATTGTCTAAATAATCTGTAAATATAAGAAGTTTAAAACATAAGGTTTAAAATAAATTAATATAAAATAAAATAATTCTGTCTGTCACAAGTGGTAAATATAAATATATAAAATAAAAATGTAGGATCACAGCCTATGCTGAAAATAGCTAGATTCTTTAAAATAGTAGATACGGAGCTTTAGTTCCAGTATTGGGATTAGTCCGGAGCTATAGTTCCAGTATTGAGATTAGTCCGGAGCTATAGTTCCAGTATTAGGATTAGTCCGGAGCTATAGTTCCAGTATTGGGATTAGTCCGGAGCTATAGTTCCAGTATTGGGATTAGTCCGGAGCTATAGTTCCAGTATTGGGATTAGTCCGGAGCTTGATTTTTTGGGAGCTCCATTCTCCATTCTCCGAGCCTACTTTTACAGCTCCGGGTTTAGTGGACTACCCAGTCTCCTCTCTTCTGTTGCTGGTTCAAATTTGAACCTAAACAGAAAACAGAAATTAAAATATTTGCAAATCTAAACTTGAAACAGAAAACAGAAATTAAAATATTTGCAAATATGAACCTAAACAGAAAACAGAAAATAAAATATTGCAAACAAGAACCTAAACAGAAAACAGAAATTAAAATATATGCAAATCTGAACTTTAACAGAAAACAGAAATTAAAATATTTGCAAATCTGAACTTTAACAGAAAACAGAAATTAAAATATTTGCAAATCTGAACTTAGAAAACAGAAATTAAAGTATTTGCAAATCTAAACCTAAACAGAAAACAGAAATTAAAATATTTAAAAATCTGAACCTAAACAGAAAACAGAAACAAAAGAATAAATTAAAAAACATAATTATTCTTGACAAAAAAAAACAGAAATAAGTATAAAAACAATGTTTCTCGATTAAATAAAATGAGGACCGGATTATAATATTACAAGAATATAAACAGACCAAATAATTAAAGAAGGTACATGTACAGGCTGGTCGACGAAACATTATGGTTCAGAGAAGACTTGATAATAGTTTTTGACAATTGAAATAGTTTGCGGTAACCATTTGTCCACCTACTTTTACCTATTGAGATTACCTAAATATGGTCTGCCCTTTCAGTGCATTCAAGATCACAGGAATTTCGGCAAGATTTTAATTTATTAAATAAAACTACTGCGTTTCATGGGACACAATATTTCATCAAAACTGAGAATTTAGGTGTTTAGCTTATAATCTTGAAACCAGAAATAATATTTTGTTTGCGCTTTAATTTTCACCATATTTTCGATAACTATTACAGATGTTTACAGTTCGAATTTCAAATAAAACTGTTTTCATTTAGAACTGAATAATTGTGTTCAACATCCCCAAAACAAAAATCTGGGCTAACCGACCACTGTATCTTAAAATGTATTGTTTACAGAGGCGTTTTCAGGGGACGGGGGGGCTGTGAGGGCTCAGCCCCCCCCCCAGAGGGAAATTGAAATCTATGATTTTCAGGGGTGTTTCAAGTCCCAACGGGTGCCGAATCCCCATAGGAAAAAAAATTTAAGCCCCCCCAGACAAATTTCTGTATAAACCCCTGATTGTGTTACATATGTATGTAATATGTATAGTTTATACATAGAGAATTAAGTCATGACAAAAACAAGAAAAAATAAATATTTTTTTTTATCTAAGAAATTAAAGGATAAATGAATTATTGAAAGGATGACTTAAAGTAAGGGTGAAAAAATGAAAGAATGAAAGAATGAAAAAATAGAAAGAAAGAGGTGTGAAATTAAATAATTATGTAAGCTGATGAAAGGGTTAGCTGATGAAAGGGTTTGAAAGGTGAATGAAAGAATGGAAGTTTCCTTCCTTCCAATTCTCCGACCATATTTTTTTTTCTAAATAATATTTAGTTTTAGTTGGGAAGATGAAATAAAGGAAGAATTAATAAAAGAATGCAAAAAAAAAGAATGAAAAAATGAAAGAATGAATGAAAGAAAGAAAGAAAGGAAGGAAGGAAGGATGAAAGAAAAAAAGTAGAAAATAAAGAAAGAAGGAAATAAAGAAAGAAGGAAAGAAATAAGGAAAGGAAGAATGAACTAAAGAAAGTAAGGATAAAAGAAAGGAAGGCTTAAAGGAAGGAAGGATGAAAGGATAAATGAATGAAAGGATGATGTACATATATAAGTAAGGACGGATAAAAATGAAATCATTTAAATTTTTAAATTTACCTCAATACACCCTGGTGCTTCCCACATTCCCCGGCAAAGGCGAGTAGAATACTGTTTCCTATCCTATACATTATGAACATGATTGACATGATGAACATGATTGACATGCTGAATATGATGAATATGATGAATATGATGGACGTGATGGACGTGATGAACATGAGGAACATAAAACATGATGAACAAGATGAACATGACGAACATGACGAACATGACGAACATGACGAACATGACGAACATGACGAACATGACGAACATGACGAACATGACGAACATGACGAACATGACGAACTTGACGAACATGACGAATATGACGAACATGACGAACATGACGAACATGATGAACATGATGAACATGATGAATGCATGAGGAACATTATGGACATGAACATGATGAATGAACATGAGGAACAGGATGGACGTCATAGACATGATGGACGTGCTAGTCGTGATCCATTGGATCGTGTACTTGGCAGAACTAACAATTAAAAAACTTGTAAAATGAAAATCCGATTGAATTGTATAGTGTGTTCACTGTATACAGGTGTAAGTTTAAAATAAGGCAATAACAAACATTTAGCAGATGTTTTTTTATCTGACTGTAAAGATATTTTGTAAAAAAAACTAAATCTTATGTGGATATAAATTTATCTTTAACATACTGTTCGTTTAAATTTCTCATAAAAATTTTTAATTCAATCTTTTAAAAATGATCTTTGAAGATTGTTGTGCAGAATAATAAGATCGTTGTTACCTATTTTCAAAACTATTCTCCCAAAACAATTCTTTTTCTCTAAAATTTCTGATATTTAGTTTGTGAAAAAAAAAACACCATGGCTGGTTATTTACCTGAGGAATCCGACGGGACGTCTCAAATCACTATCAAACGAGATATTCTTTATAAACTGCCCCCGGGAGTTGAACACCATGACCTTGCCGGTCTTGTTGTCCGCCACCAGAAGGTGCCCAAGATCATCCAGGAGAAGACCAAGAGGTTTCTTAAACTGACCCACTCCGTCACCGTTGTATCCATGGGAGGTTTGAGTTCTAAAAATAATTGATCTGAGCTGAAAACTATTGTGTTGGATACCCTTAATCCTGATTGCTTAATCTTGATATCCGCTATGGACCGTTTTCATTAACAAATTGAGGATATCAAACATTGACCTCGATATCTATTATACAAGAGTTTACAACTCTGAGCCGAGAACTTATAAAGAGACGGAAAAAGCTAAACTCGTTCTCTAATCGCAGGGTGATTAAGCGATCTCTCATTACTTAGATCCCAAAAATAATTAAACCAAATAAAAATATCTCAATGATCTCATTCTTAGATCCCAAAAATAATTAAACCAAATAATAAATCTCAATGATCTCATTACTTAAATCCCAAAAATAAATAACCCCAATATTAATATCTCAATGCTCTCATTCTTAGATCCCAAAAATAATTAAACCCAATATTAATATCTCAATGCTCTAATTACTTAGATCCCAAAAATAATTAAACCAAATATAAATATCTCAATGCTCTTATTACTTAGATCCCAAAAATAATTGAACCCAATATTAATATCTCAATGATCAAATCAGATTAGTTCAGAACTATTTGAGTCCTATGGATTTACCTGCAAAGAAAGAACAATTTTAAATTTTAAAGTTTTCAGCTCCTGATGAAGTTTTTCACTTCATTTATAAAAGATCATGTTCAATTCACAACAGTCACCTTCAAACCTTTATCGCAGTAACAAGATATAGTATTTTTTCTATCTCAAAAAAGTATAATTCTCACATTTCCTTCCTTGTCTTTGCAAAATAAATCCGCATATCACGTTTACAAAAAAAATTAATCAAATTAGCTTGCTGGATATCTCAACCCTTCTTGATCAGACATAGGTTTGTAGGATACAGTCAGGAATCGGAACAAAATATTAATTTTGAAAATAAACCTACTTTTCAACTCTATCAATGATATATATCCTGGAGAGACCCATGTCTGTGATATAAATCTTGTTGTTGAAATAAACCAGGTTACGCAGCTGGGGTTCAACATCAGGTCTAAATCATTTCACCTGATTTGATTTGACTCAAATTTAACCGATTGATCGATTTTTTTCACAGATTGAAATATCGATTCAGTTCAAATGTTTTGAATTGATGATGATTTGAAAGTTCGCAGAATGCCATTTTGCAGTAAAGGAAAAAGGGGTTTTTAAAGGAAGTGTTCGCGAAAAATTTAAGAGGGTATAGGCTTTGATCGCTACTAATCTTATTTCTATCAAGAACGTAGCGTCCATATAAATGCAGAAAGTTACAACATTCAACTCGGATCGTAAAAAATCAAATTAATTCCAAACAAATCATTCAGTTATTACAACCGATAGTCATCGATAATTTTTCGACGCATTCGTATTTAGTTGATATTTCATAATATTTTCTTTTTCATGATCTGAGTTACTTTTGAAAACATTTATTCCCGTTTCGAAGATTTTTGATAATGAAGACGACATTTTCATATTTTCCAGGAATGTTTGAAAATCCAGCGCCAGCGAAATAATTAAAAAAACGAAATCAAAAATATTATGAAATATTAACTATATACGAATGCGTCGAAAAATAATCCATGACTATTGTTTGTAATATCTGAATGATATTTTTTGAATTAAATTGATTTTTTTCGATTCGAATTGAATGTTGCACCTTTCTGAATTTGTAGAACGCTACGTTCTTCAGCATGAGTCGTTTTTAAAGATTTTCTCCTTATAGAAGCAACAGATGAAATAAGATTAGCAGCGATCAAAGGCGCTTATTTTCCGCGAACACTCCCTTTAAGTACCCCTCCCACCCCACAAATAAATGGGTTTGGGACAGTTTTTCAACATAAGAAAAATGAGAATTAAAAATTATTCACTAATTAAAATGTTAAGACTTGAGCAAATTTCTGCGTTACGCTTGAGAGGTATTCCGACTTAGGCTAACCAGTAAATACCATATGTATTATATATATATATTTATGAATAATCTAATAATCATAAGTTTCTCAAAGTATACAAATTTTCAGTCAATCAGAGTTTTTTACAAAATAAATAAAATACAATAATAAATATTTTTGTCCCTTGATATTTGATTTAATTAACCTGTTAGTAGCAGTGACAGAGAGTTCAACAGTATCTCCAGTTTCATATTGGTTGGTTTCAGGGTTTAGACTCAGAATACTAAAAACATTTCAGGGTTTAGAATCAGAACTGAAAATAACTCAGATAATTAAAAAGTTCGAGCTCCAGTAACAGTGTTTTATTACCTGATGTGTGGTTCCTTGTTGATCATGACGAGGGAGATGATCTCCCCAGTGTCCCCCTCCGCGAGTCCCCTGTACACCCCTTGAAAGTTCTGGTGCTCTACATACTTATGTTGTTCATCAGACATCCTGAACAGGGATAGTTAGGGACTGTAAGCGTAATTTCATATGACCCTTCGTGCAAGATGGCAATGCCCAAATTAAAACGGTTACCTTAAAAGCTTTGCCTGATCAGTTGAATCAGATATCCATGTTTTTGTATATTTAAACGGTTTATTTTCATTGGTGGTTTCTCTGCAAAGGTGACTTGCGCATTTCTTAGTTATGAGAAACAACGGAGAAAATATCTAAACTAAACCTTTGTCAAGGCAGAAAGACTACGTTATCTCCCACATTTTTGATCAGAGTAAGATTTCAAGGGTTCCATTTTTAATCGGAAATTGCCACCTATGTATGGATGTAAACTATCTAGATGCTATAACTTCGATGATAACTTTACTCAAAGTCTAATTAGAACATATCTAACTCTATCTCTTGCCAAAACTCAAGGCTCTCTATATTCTCAGCCAATACTCAAGGCTCTGTATACGTCCGTATTAATCAACGAATTCTATTGAACTACTTTATTTATAAACAGGTAAAAATGAATCTGACCGGGCTAGCCCAGCTGGGTCAACATTTTGATAATTAAGATAAATATATTACTAGCATGAATAACAAAGATAGCATTGCACATCGTTACAGAATATACTTCATGGAGTGTCACTTACTTGAAATTTATTCGTCATTTAATCTGACTAATAATTCAATTAATCGACAGGGGTGTATATTACTACAAAATTAACCCCCTCCCCCGTTAACAAGTAATTATATCGCTAAATTGCGTAAAATAACTCATTTTATAGGGGTGAAATTATATCTTTGGTAAAAAAGTATCAAAAGGAGAGAAAGAACTTGCCAGCTGCGGTACAATATTCCCTTTTTTCTCTCCAAAACTTCGAAAATCATATTAAAATAATCACCCCTGTTAATCAACTAGAATTAGAATCAAATTAAAGTCGTTCAAAGAATAACATTGTAGCTCTGACGTATTTAAGTTACAAACGTACACGAACGCGCAGTCTAAATCTTTTTTATTATTGTCAAGTCTTAAAAAATGTTCCCCTTTTGTTTTACTCTTATTAAAATAAATTTTTGGGTTTAAACTTCCTAAACGTAAAGCTTTTGGGGAAAAAATGATTTTTTAAATAAATAAATTGTTTAGAAGAATCAAAAAACAAGACAGTACTAGAGTAGAGGATATTAATAATTGAAAACATACTCTGAGGCAAGGGATTAAGTTTTTTAAATTAAATTAAACTTAATTCCTTCAATTAAAACGTTGGAGGTTAAGTTTTCAGTCGCTGTAGCTAAGAAATATTCCAAAAAGTTTTGATTTCCCGGAAAATATTTATTATTGTTTAAGAACTCAGTACTCACTTGTAGATGTAAAGTCCGCGTTTCTGGATCAGAACTACAATCTCTCCGGGTAGGGCTAGAATATGGAGAGGATTCCGGACCAACAACTCCTTGGAGTTAAGCCAACCTTGGAAATCGAGGTTCTGATCTCCGTAAACCCCAACCCTCCCGTGGTAAGGTTCAGTTATCAAGATGGCCTGGAGAAATCATTCAAAATCGGGATGTTATGAAATAATTATAAATTAAGGGGAGTATATTTTCCTAAAAATCATCCCCCTCCCCCTTTTTAAGAAATCATTTTTGTTCCCCATAAGTTATATATAGTTGCACGAAGCGCCAAAAAAAACTAGCGTTTTTTCGCTATATTGGGGAAAATAAATTATTTTTAGATAAAAAAATCAAAAAGATGTCCCATTTTTCGGAGTTTTTTCCCACAATTTATCAAAAATCTCTCTGAAAAATATCGACCCCTGCAAGTTCTAATAAATAAATACAAGTTGCCTTCCATTTTGCAATTGTGTCATTCTTTTTTATGGTCTTCTATAATTACGCTCAAACTTTCAGGCTAAATGAAATCTATCTCCTCCAAAGTAACTCTTGTCTTAAACTTGTTTTGATAAATAAATTTTTAAAAACTTAATTTTGATTGATTAGATTCCTGATGTTCTTGCTGCCATGCTAGGAAACAGGGTGCATCCAATCCATAAATCCTAAATAAAAAAAATAAAAATTTCAAGGTCCATACAATCCATCAAGCCTAAATAAAAAAATAAAAATTTCAGGGCCCATACAATCCATCAAGCCTAAATAAAAAAATAAAAATTTCAGGGCCCATACAATCCATCAAGCCTAAATAAAAAAATAAAAATTTCAAGGTCCATACAATCCATCAAGCCTAAATAATAACAATTAAGACTTTGACAAACACTATCAAGAGCAGCTTTGAGAAGCGACTGTTCTCGTTTTTTAACTTTTAATTTGTCATTTCTCAATTTACTTGGTTTTCTACAAGGCAAGTTTTTAAAATTACGACTCATTCCGAGCCAAGCACTCATAGATCTTGAAATTGCCAGGGGTAAAAATATCACCTAAATCAGTGAAGAATTAATTGCACATTTATTTATATTCTATATCCTTACCCTGGATCCCCTTTACGAATAGTATCCACTAGCTCGAGGTTCCCGGAGATAAAATTAAAACTGCTAGGCTCCTCTTCAGGTTCCCAGAGCGTCAAGTTCATCGACTTGTTCAAACTCGTCTCCCACATCTCTTCCTGGAACCTAAACGAGTCCAAAGCCTCGAGATCTTCGTCCTTATCCTCGTCCCAAATAGAATCATTATAGTCCGGAGTTCGGGGTTTTTCATATTCTGGTTCTAAGGTGGCTTCGGCAGGCGCAGTTCTATCCTTTATCCGGCGTGACACTCCTGCAATACCATCCTTCACCTTGGTGTTTCCCTCCTGGATCGAATATCTCCTGTTAGTCTCCTTGACCTGGGGAGTAGCCAACTCCTGGAATATCTGAGTTCTCACGGCGAAGTTTATCGATTTGTTTAGTCCACCACCGATATCAACCACGTCCTTAATCGGAGAATTATCCCGCGAGTTTTCACGGCTCAAACTTCTCTGCATGTCATCGACACTTCTCCGACCTGAACCGAGAGATTGGGCGAGGATAGGACTATCAGGGTCGTTCTCCTGGCGAGGAAGTTCATGCTCCAGACTTGCTAATAGATCGGAAAGCTGGGACGCAGAGGTCTCTCTCATAGTAGAAAACTGACACCGGTCCGAGACTGGAGAAAAAATTGAGTTGTTAAGGGTTTTTCCGTTCTCCGGGATCTCATCCACCACAGAGAGGCCGTGCTGTCCCAAAGGTTTAGGAGCTACAGCTAGACCTTCGGTTCCGTTGGTCGTATTTCCGTTAGTTCTAATCTTGTTTCTGGTTGTCATATCCAGACTAACTAGATCGGAGGAATCAAGGCCTCCCAATCCTATGCGATGTGAGGTTTCATCGAGAAAAGATTGACAACTCCCATTAACATTGTTTTCCATTAAAAACTTTCTTTTCCTTCCGTCCTTGATGTGCACGCCCAATATTTTTACATCAAGCTCTCCATACCCTGTACTAGTAGAGGGAAGGCTGGTCAGCGTCACTACGTGATCATTAAGAACTGTAGCTTTTCCAACACTGATGAGATCTTTCAACATTGCTGAATAGATCGGAAGCGTGCCAGACTCAGATCCATTGCTGTTCACGCAGCTGAAATTGATCTCCATCGACCTTCTTATCCAATTGTTGTTGAAGGAGTACGGAGGTTCGGTCAAGATACAAGGGTTTAGTTCCACTCCGGAGTTAAGCGCTAGACGAAACTTCTTCGGATCACAAGCCTTGCTCTTGGTATAGATTGCCTCCTCCGTTCCTAACTGGAGTAGGTGGGAGTCTACTGCTATAGAGAGTTTTATGCCTCGTTCCAGGTTGTCAATCTCCTCCATCATGTTCTTGTATTCCTCCTGGTACTCCAACAGATCATCTCTCCGGGATCCGCTTTCTTTTTCTTTCTACAAATACAATCAACGTAATTTTAAGCAATCTTAACAAGATTCAAAGATTCAAAATATGACCCTAAATAATTATTAAACTGATGGAAGTCTAAAAATAGTTGTTTTGCCAGCTATCATAATAAATTAAATCCCAGCAATTTTCTTGCTCGCCTTAATTATAGAACTCTTTGAATCTCTTTCTAAACCAAGCGGCGATTCGTTTAGCTAGGATTTCTTTTATTCACATTTTCATTTGATAAAGAAAGGGCATATATTTACAACAGATTTTAGAAGCATTGTTAATAATTTCGAAAACGGGGCGCCGGTGGGTGGGGTACCTATACCTATTAACATGGTCCATTAAGACTAAAGAAAAGGATGAAAGAAAGGTTTGCACTATGTTCCCGTATAGGCGGATTAATTTCAAAATGTTTGTGAAAACAAGAAATAAGAAAGATAAATGTTTTACATACATTTACACTTTCTCATGTCACTTTCGTTAAGAAAAATGGAGGAAGGGGGCTACTCTTTCAAATAATTATACCAAAACCAAATAAAAACTAACCTCTAGCTTTACCCTAATTTTTTTCGCCCTGGCTTCAACATCACAGGCAGAGTTGACGGTTGCAGTTCTCACTACGTTCATAGTCTCCAGGTCTTTATAGTTCAGTCTCTCAAGGATTCTACCGTACTCTCTGAACATTAAATAATGATAAAGGGACTGTTTCTATCGTACTCTCTGAACATTAAATAATCATAAAGGGACTGTTTCTACCGAACTCTCTTAACATTAAATAATGATAAAGGGACTGTTTCTACCGTACTCTCTGAACATTAAATAATCATAAAGGGACTGTTTCTACCCTACACTCTTAACATTAAAATACTGTTAAAGGGACTGTGACTACCGAACTCTCTTAACATTAAATAAAGATAAAGGGACTGTTTCTACCGAACTCTCTGAACATTAATATAATGTTAAAGGGACTGTTTCTACCGTACTCTCTAAATATTAAAATAATGATAAAGGGACTGTTTATACCGTACTCTCTAAACATTAAAATACTGTTAAAGGGACTGTCGACGTAATTTCAAGTAACCCTACGTACAATGAGCCACCTAATAGATTCCAAAACTGTGCCTTTTTTAATTCAATATCTGAGTAAAAGGCAAGATATCGGAATTTTTTTTAAATAGATTCCGTGAATTTCTGCTGTATAAATCCAGAAAATAAATCGCTTATGAAAATGATCGATTTCAGATAGAAAACTAAGATATGTATTATAAATCAGAAAAAGGTAAATAGTACTGTTGTGAATCAAGCATGCAAAAGGAAGGTTAATTGTACGGTCCCTTAAAATTGTATCAAACAGAAGACATTATTCATCTGTTAAAAGTGATCATTCACTAAGAGTGAGATTTCAACTTGTACTTTTGCCTGATTTTTTCCTCCAATATTTGACATGAAACCCCATTCTGTCAATTCTTTTTAGAAATAATACAATTTCAATTTCAATTTATTGAATACAATTCAAACATAGAATTTGAAAATAAGTAAAGTTGGTAAATGGCAATATAATTGGAAAAAAAGGAAGAAAACCGGAAATTCGTGACAATCTGAAATGTTTTTTAAAAAATTAAGAATTTTTTTCATCGTCCTTGAACTTTGTACATTTAAAAACAAAGTAGCATTTTAAAAATTTGTCCGATGTTATCGTAAAAATGATGAGTCCTAACCGAGTGCAGATTTGTTGATAAGAAATATTAAATTACTTTCTAAGGAGCAGTTTTCTCTGCTCAGCTCTCGTCTTAGAAAGTTCAATCATGTTCTCCAACTCCTCTTCGATTCTCTGCAAATAGAACAGCTTGTTAAATACCAGCTAGGGAACCCAGCTTTATCTAGAGTTTTCCCAAGTCAATCCACTCCAGCTTGGCGAAGAACATTCCAGTGGTTTCACTGAGTTCTCCAATCATAATTTGAGGTATGCAACCAAGGGGTTTATGAGTTATGATCAGACATCTAACGAGAATAAAATAATTCAGCATGGAAACTTTCTTTCATCTTTTTTTGAAAATCAAAATTTAAAGGATAGAAGGTGCCTCTAATTTTACCGGAAGTAGACGTCCCCCCAATTGTCCAGTGGAGGGGTCATCCCCCCCTTCCCCTCCCCCAATAAAAAAAAGTTCAGCAATCTTCATAACCTAAATTTTTAGGAGTATAACTATACAAACCTTCTTTTTCTGCTGTAAACTCTTGTCAAGACCGTCCAGTTCTCCCAAAAGTTCACTAAACGGCCTTCTAGTATCCATCGTAGTCTAAAAATTCACAAAATATTGAATTTCGATAAAACTTTCGATTCAAACTGTCATTGTTACAACACATTGATAACATTAACAAACAAACTTAACAAAAACGTGCAATATCGGTAACAGCCATGAGTATACAAACTGACTATACATATGTAAACAAAAACTACAGGGTGTCCCACGAAACATGACAGTATGCAGGACGACTTGAATGTCGTCTTGATTTTTGATATAATTTGCTGCGGTTATTTGTCAACCATATTTATTTTTTTGTTATTTAGGGTTAGGTTAGGTTGAGACACTTTCTGGGCCGAGCGCTGCGGCCACGGGTTAGGTTAAGTAAAGACACTTCTTGTCAGACCCATGTACAAAATTGATAGGAGGGGGGGAGGGGGGTCCAAAAATCGTTCTCTAGGAAATTACCAATACGCAAACGTACTGTGTGAGTACGCAGTTTAAAAGATAAAAACTAAATCAGACTTTGACAGCTGTTTGTTGCTAGAGTTGCTAGTTCTCTCTCTTAGTCTTGTTGCGTATACTCTTTAGATGTGTGGAAGGAAAAATGGTTTGGTTTGGTTAATCCTCTCTTCCTTCACATTCACTTACTTTACAGAATTATCCATATAAGGATGAGACTTGTACCTGGATCTTTTAAGTTTTAATGGTAATGTTACATCGTCTATACGCAACATCCCCCTCCAGACTCATACTGTAATTTAATAAATATTTTTATTGCCGTAGTTCCCCTGCACGTTAAAGGAATCGCTAACCGATCTTCACAACTTTCTTGCTCATCATCGCTTCACAAAAGGATCGGCCAAAAAAATATTTTATCAATTTAATTGGGCTAACACAAACAGTCTCTAGACTCTTTAGTCCTCAAACTAGAGAAAGATATGTACATAAATATATAATGTAACAGATTTTAATTTTTCGACAACTTATATATCATTGACCATAAAATGTTATGTATAACAATCAATCTAGTTTGCAAAATACATTTATTATTATTATATTATTATCCCCCTCCTACTACTCCTACTGAACTTCTGACCTACTAACTTTCCGACCTAATGCAATATCGGACCTACGCCAGCAGTTCATTTTTGTATTATTTGAGCGTTAGGTTAGGAATTAAGACACAATTAATTGTGGGCCGAACGTTGCGGCTAGGACAGGCTAGGGGGCCGTACACTGCTGCAGCCACAAGTCCATCTAGCAGCTGTAAAACCAAGTACGTTAGCTAGTAGGTCGGATGTGTATTATAGCGGATTTGGCAGGTCAGAAGTGGAGATCGATGCAGCGGATTTGCGTAGGTCGTAAGATACACCATCATTTTAATGCATCAAAAGGTTCAATTACCTGGACTTTACAATCTCTTAAGTAATTGAATAAAAATGATGGACACAGAACGAAATATCGATTCGATAAATCTCTAAACCAATTTGTTCAACGTAATCATATAAACTGCAATATCGTTTTCTCCTTTCTTCAAGAATAAAACCACGTCCCCTGGATTAGCATGGGAAATTTAATCACGTATTCACTTTCATTCACTTTCATATTCCCTATAATCCGATAATCAATACAGATGTTACCCACACAGGCATGAACCTTTAAATTATCACTTGAACTCGTTCAATTCAGAAAATAAACTTGTAAACGCAAAATGAAAAGAATAAAACTACATCACGTTCTTATCTTCTGGAAAAAAAATTAAATCGTTCACGTATTTTTAAGGATTTTTTTTTCAGTCTGAAATAAATCACAATTTTAGTTAATTTGCTTCTTTTTTATCTGCAGAGCTAGTCTAGGTGGAATATTACCAAACAAAACTATACCTTGTTTTAAATGTCAAATTGACAGTACTGATAAATGTCAGCCTGCAGTTCATTCAAAGGGTATAAACTTTTCAACGGACCTAGAAGAAACGAAGCTAACTGGTTTCTGACCTTTTTAATCATAATCGATTAACTGATTCTTCTGATAAATATGCCTATACTAATGCAGTTTCACATCTGAATTAGCGGTTACACCTATTATATATCAATGATGAACTACACACATTAAATTGAAGAGATTTGTTAGCCACTTGAACGACAGGTATAAAATGTATTATATGCAGATTTTTCTGTAGCTACATAGGTGTATTTTTACAGGGGAGAGAAGGGAAGTCTTTTTACACACAAAAAAACACTTATTTTACCTTGAATTTGATCTTACATTAACGGCTCTGATTCTTAAATTATGTGGAATAGGAAGACGTCTGTTTGGCTCAAGTTATTATTTTAAATAGTAATACTATTTGCTAAATAATAACTTATATAATAAACATAAGATTACTTACATGTCGTCTTCCAATTCCAAAGTTATGTTTGTCCCACTGAATACGTATACATCCTGGAAAAAAATATTTTATTTTTGTGTCCTCTTGGAACCCAAGGACATGGAACTATATAGAAATGTATGTGTAATGTGTCCTCTTGGAAACCCAGGACATGGAACTATATAGAAATGTATATGTGTCATGTGTCCTTCATTAAGTTGCAAGGACAAAATATAATAAGAAATCACTCTCCCGTCCTGGATCACTACAATGATTGAGAAAAAATAGCAATAAACCAAATTGTCACCCACTGCAGTCCTAGAACTTTAGATATAATCCTAAAAATAACCTAAACAGAGGCCCGTTTATTATTCACTCTTTGTAAAACTACGAATGATGCAGTGTCCTCTTTGAAAACAAGAACGAAATAGTAAGAAACCAATTCTGGATCATGACAATATAAATATTTTTGTCCTGTAGGAAAACAAGGACTAAATAAGATGAAAATCATATATTTTTAACCCGTTCGGAATCACTTCTGGTGTTCTGCAAGAAAACAAGGACGTAATAAAGATAAAACTGTTTTATTATTCACCAATCCTGAATAACTATTATGTGTCCTGCAGGAAAACAAGGACGTAATAAAGATAAAACTGTTTATTATTCACCAATCCTGATTTTACTATAATGTGTCCTGCAGGAAAACAAGGACGAAATAAAGATAAAACTGTTTTTTATTCACCAATCCTGATTTACTTTAATGTGTCCTGCAGGAAAACAAGGACGAAATAAAGGTAAAACTGTTATCATTCACCAATCCTGAATTACTATATGTGTCCTGCAGGAAAACAAGGACGTAATAAAGATAAAACTGTTTATTATTCACCAATCCTGAATTACTATAATGTGTCCTGCAGGAAAACAAGGACGTAATAAAGATAAAACTGTTATTATTCACCAATCCTGAATTACTATAATGTGTCCTGAAGGAAAATAAGGACGTAATAAAGATAAAACTGTTTATTATTCATCACCAATCCTGAATTACTATAATGTGTCCTGCAGGAAAACAAGGACGAAATGAAGAGAAAACCGTTTATCATTCTCATTCTAGAACTGCTAGAAATCCTGCTTGATCCGAGAAACTCTGTAAAAGAAATCCATAGACCATGACAAGTATATTTAACCAACTACCTGTACTTCATATAACCCAATTCAAAGCAAATATAAACAAAAAATCCTTTCAGACGAAACTAAAAGAGGACAAGGGAAATTTTCTCCCGTCCTCCGTCCTGTTAAACTGAACTATACCTCAACTTTTTCACAGCATTTGAAAATTGTTTCAAAAGTGTCTAATTTCCAGGCCAACCCCCTGGTAAATCTTCAAGTCTGGTCTGGACTTCCGCTCTTGTCACTTATCTTTCCTGCCACTTTTCATAAAATCCATCCTAAACACTATTACCACGTCCACGCAGTTCTCCCATCTCCTTTTCAAATCCGTTCTTATTTCTTTCCTTTCAATTTTCATAAAATCTGTCCCTTTCCAATCTTTTTCTCTTTTCTTTAAATCCGTCCATATCTGTTCTTCTTTACTTCTCTTTAAAGCCTTCCTTATTCTCTCTCATTTCCTTTGAATCCGTTCATATCTCGTATCCTTTTCTTACCTTTTAATACGACCTTAACTCGATCCTCTTCTTGTAAATCCTTCCTTATTACTCTCCTTTGCTTCTCTTTAAAGATCTGCATATATCCCCTCTCTGTTACTTCTCTATATATCTATCCTCACCGCATTCTAAGTTATTTCACTTTAAATCCATCCTTATACCTTTTCATTCACTTCTCCTTAAATCCGTCCTCATCCCATTCTAAGTTAGTTCTCTTTAAAACCGTCGTTATCCCCTCTCATTCATGCTTCTCTTTAAATCCGTCCTCATCCCTCCTAAGTTAGTACTCTTTAAATCCGTCCTTATCCCCTCTTCTTTACTTTTCTTTCAATTTGTCCTTATACCCTTTCCTTCACTTCTCTATATAGATTTGAATCCATCCCCTCTCCTTTACTTCTCTTTAAAGATCTGTATTTATCCCCTTAACTTTACTTCTCTTTAAAGATCTGTATTTATCCCCTTAACTTTACTTCTCTTTAAATCCGTCCTAACACCCTTTCCTTTACTTGTCTTTATAGATCTGTATTCATTCCCTTTACTATACTTTTCTTTAAAGATCTGTATCCATCACTTCTCTCGAAATTCGCCCTTATACCCTCTCCTTTAATTCTTTTAAGATCTCTTTTCCTTTACTTATCATTAAGATCTGTTTTTATCCCCTTTAAATTATTTCTATTTAATACGTCCTCATACCCTTTCCTTTATTTCTTTTTATAGATCTGTATCTATTCCCTCCCTTTTACTTCTCTTTAAAGTCTTCCTTATCCATTCTTCTTTACTTCTCTTCAAATTTGTCCTTTTACCCTATCCTTCACTTCTCTATAATTCTGTATCCATCCCCTCTACTGTACTTCTCCTGAAATCCGTCCTCATACCCTCTCCTTTAATTTTTTAAAGATCTGTATTTATCCCTTTTCCCTTACTTCTCTTTATAAATCTGTATTTATCTCTTTTCCTTTACTTATCTTTAAAGATCTGTATTTATCCCCCTCTCCATTACTTATCTTCTATCCGTCCTTATCTTATCTCCTTTAATTCTCTTTAAAT